GTGTCTGTGGACAGGGACACTTCACCTGTCGTGTGCGTGTGGACAGGGACACTTCACCTGTCGATGTGTCTGTGGACAGGGACACTTCACTTGTAAAAGGTATAAGAGCGTTGTTTGCTGCTGTGTGATTACATTTCTTCGATTTTAGAATAGTAACTGTATCTGAACAGCACCAAGTGAAAAAGTGGCTGTAACTGTTACTCAAAATGAGTACTCAGAACATTATTGTTGGTACATTACTTCCCAACACTGTGTGTGTGTTGTAATCATTGAATAACTTTGTGTATACATTGCTTCTAATGCCACACCTGTGCTTCAAGTAAATGTGAATCATAGTTTCATAATGACTCGGATGTGCCTGAACAGGAACAGGAATAGTTCAATTCAAAACATTCAAGAGGTTTCATTCATGTGGAAGAATTGATCAAATCTCCAAACTTCTTATCCACAAGTGTTTCTCTCCTTCTCATTATTTGTTTGGGATCAGCTCCAGAAACTTTTCATACTAATCTTATGTCCTAAAACCCTTTTAACTGACAACAATCACATATTTGGGGTTGAATAATGGCACCACTTTGTGAAGCTATTGTGAAAAAAAAAAAAATCACTTTTGTTTATTTATCCTGATACAGAAGAGGTTGAACTTTGAGACATTTTTGCTTCATGTGGATAGGCCCAGTAATTACAGAGATATGAACCATAAACCAGGTCAACACATCTGCATCTGACAGTTCCACAACTCCACCTGAGACTCTGACCTAAAGGGCCCATATTATGCTATTTTCTGATCTATGTTATAATTAGAGATGTAATGATATCCAAATCCCTCAATAAAATATTTTCACAATGTGCATCTCACAGTACAGTATTTATTGCATTACATTATTAATGTGCTACTTTTCTGTCATAATCCAAATAATTAAGATTTAAAAGTGCCTAGTTCTAATGTAGTTTCCTCAACATGTTTGGAGTTACACCTTTACTAGAATTATTTGGATTATTCCAGCCCTGGAATCGCCAATCTCTACTGAACTAAAGTTAAAAGGAGCTGTTAACTTGAAAACTGCCACTTCATAACATCACAAGGTGGAACTGACCATTTTGAGCTTTGGAGATGTAGACAGACTAATAATAAAGGATTACTCAAACATGTGTAAATGAAACAAAACAACTACGGTGTTGTTTTTGAAGAGATAACAACATTTTAACATGGCTAAAAGGTCACAAGAGGAATATAGACGCACCTTAATTTAGAGGGTTTCTACAACGTTATGACCCAAACTATTCAATCTTAATTTTCATTTACAGTGACAGAGAAGACGCTGAACTTTCTGCCATTTTAGACCTTGGATCATTCTGACCTCACATGACTACAATAAGAAATCGACCGCAGAGAGAGAAATAGTAAAAACAAAATGGTGTTTATTAAGACAACAAACCCTGAATAATCAGGAACGTTATAATACTCCGTTACGAAGTGGTTTTTACACAAACCAAAATACAAAAAACAAAACTAAATCCACAGAGGAATTCTCAAAAGCACCACAAAGTTTGGGAGTGCCAGTCCAAGAGATACAGCCAAAATGAAAAATATGTGTTTAAGTCCCCACTTTGAGCTGCCATAGAGAACAGTCTAGTTTTGAATGAGAAAGAGGGGACTGAATTAAAAGTAAAAGTACAGGAAATACTACAGAAGATCACAGTTTAACATGTAAACAAGGCCCAACCCCCACAAAGAACCTGCAACCTTTGTAATGACAACACAAGTGTACCAACAAACCAGGGACTAACTTTCACTTACTCATTTAAAACTAAAGATTTCAAACAATCTTAATTATCCTGTCTCAAAACAGAAGATTAAGCTGTTTAGTTTGCACACTTGAAATAATAACAGCTGTTTAGTTTTTTAAAGATTGAGTAATGTCTTGGGAAAGCTTCCAAGCTATTTCTGCAATGTAAACTGCCTTTGCCACACCTAGAATTCACCATTTCCCCTTTTACACTAAAACAATGGAGCTTTTGCCGAATTAAAATCCAAATTACAGTAACATTATCAGTGTGTGAATCAAAATGAGCGATAAACTTTGAAACTACAGGTTTTGTTGCTTATTTTTTTTAACTAAAGAGCTTTTTTGAAGCCACCCTACATCCCGGAAGTGGTGACATTCGAACCCAAACAAACGGCGTGGCTGTGTTAGCATGTTAGCAGCTAGCCCGGCTAACTATGCTAAAACAACAACAACGCTAGACATATATATTTTTGTAAATTTTGTTGGATTAAATTTAAAAACCTAACTAAAGTACTAGCTGTAGTGACAGGTTCACATGAAGGGGACATTAAAGGAGGTTTGGTGTTGTCACGTTGCGTCAGAAAGACACGTTTGAACCTCCATCTTTGCTTGTTTACATAAAGCAAAAAGAAAAAGTACAACTGATTTTCATTCGTAGTGATAAAAAAAAAAAAATTAAAAATAGAAAGCTTTGGCTCAAAAACAAACGTGATAAAAAGGTGTGTTTGGACCTGTACCCTTGAACATGGCACTCAAACTAAAAAGATAAGCCGGTGTTGTGACTGATTCCGATAGCAGTTTAACCCTCGACCAACTGAAGAATACACCCAGAAAATCCATGTTATTTTTTAGCTTTGAGAGTTTTCAATTCATTTCAGCACCAATTAGCATCTTCAAATTGTGCGTTTTACAGCTAAAAGTCTGTGTTAGGAGTGTAACTTTCACTCAAGTTTGCAAAAATACTAAGCTGTGCAGTTTCAGTGCAGAGTTTAGGACCACGTTTGTCCAGAGTCTTGGCTCAAACGCGTCTCTCTTCTGGAGCTGTTGACGTGGAAAACGTGCCAAGAAACAGATTTTCCCAAACCCTGTGGCCAGATCGAAACAAGGCGTCACTGCTGCGAAATGTACCAAGATTTTGCATAGTTTATCTGATTCCGAATCTCAAAATTAAGCAGATTATTCGCCACTAGGCTTTCTGTAACACCTTTGTGAACTTTATGTGGAAATAGACAGTACAAAAACACAAAACCGGCGCAGAATGAGTTGGCCAAGCTAAACCACAGCTCGCCATTTAAAACACCACATGATGAAATCCGAAAGAATTAGAAAACATAGCTACCAGTCTTTTTTAAAAATGTAATTAAACCCTAAATCGTCCGCGTGAAAAGTCCTGGAGGAGGGGGGGGGGAGCGGGCAAACTCGACCCCTGTATCCGCGGCAGAGTGCGTCCACAGCGGCGTCAACAGGACACGTTCTCCGCGCAGTCTCCACAGTCCGCCGCGGAGAACTGCAGCCTCCTCACAGCTTCTTTTATCAAATTCCCGGATAAAATGAGCTCCTGTAGCAGCCGGTGTGGGTCGTCCTCCTCCACCGCGAGCCGCTTCTTGTTCCATGGCCGAATTTGGTCCCACTCCTGGTCGCTAGAGCCGGGGATGTGGTACGGACTGGCCCGGCTGCTGCCCCGGTGGTGTCCCCGGCTTCGGAGCCTCAAACAGCAGCCATGTCCTCTCTGTATCCCCGCTCCTGTACCAGCCCCGATCAGCGCAGTCTGTTTACCGCCTGCTCCGGCCGCGTTCCCCGCTGTGATCCCGTGCAGACAGGACATGGACATCGCCTTTTGATGATGTCCAGAGCCATTGTTGTGAAGCTGCAGCGCCTCGCCGATCTTCGTCACCAGCGCGTCCACCTCTTTGGAGTCCACCGTCACCGACTGCTCCAGAAATATGTAGTTTTCCTTTCGACAGGGCATGTTTTAGTCCGAGTGTTCGAGGTGCTTCTGCAGCGGGTGGGAGCGTGGGTCGTGTCCGCGTCGGATGAATGAACCGCTGGGTGTCTGCACAGCCAAGCACCGAAGAGCCGAGGCGATTTGTAAACAAAGGGTGACGTGAGGAGGAGCGTACCATTTATGAGCAAGGGCGGGGACCTTTTCAAACCAAAATAAAGCAATAATTTCACACATTCGTCAACATTTACACATAATATCCCATAACCAACATATATAACTATTTATAACAGTATTAATCCAAACTTTACGCATGAATTTGCCGTATTCACCTCGCCAGAGCTCCTTGTGTTTCGCCGCACTCCCCCGCGCCGTTGGTCTCCTCCAGAATATTGGACATTACATAACTCCAACTGTCTGTTCAGGCAAAACAAACAAAGCGCATATTTCTAGTACAACAAAATGGCGACACCACGTTGTGCACGTCTGAGTGAGCCCACGGGCTTCACAGCAGCACTGAAAACACAACATGATCTGGTTGATGCAACGCTCATTTCTCTTGGTTGGTTAGAGCCTTTGCCATATGAAATTATTTTTCACATGTGTAGCTTCAGCTGAGCTTGTTGGCCTTTATGTAAAATGCAAACATGAATGTAGTAGGATGACCAGATTTTCCAAATTAAAAACTGGGACATCCCTGGTTTGGGGTGGTTAATGATAATACAATTATGTGAGTGCGTAATTAAGAAAAAGAAAATTAAGAAAAAATGTGAGTATAGTCATATTTTCTTTGTGTTGTGGTCATTTTTAAGAAGCTTTTCTCTATTTTACCTAAACAACTGACAATTTATGTCTCTTTACTGTTGGCAGGTTGATCAAAAAACAGGGACACCTGGGACATTTCTTGTATAAAACTGGGACAACTCACTGGTTTTGTATAAATCTGTTGGGACAGAGGACACAGGGCTCAAAGCCAGGACTGTCTCGGGAAAATAGGGATGTCACCCAAGAATGTAAGCTAGTTGAAAATACATTTATGCAAATCATTTTCTGGAGTGACCTGTTTGTCTCCATGGAGATGCTTATTGCTTTGCCTAGAATGTTCCACACTATGGCCTCAAAATTAGGTTGTCTATCTTATTTTTGACATTACAGGCGTAAAAAAAAGCCCTGATGCATTCTTACTGTGAGCATGGTCGCCGCTCCACAGACCTGACCTGTTACTTAGTCTGCTTATGGCCATGGAGATAGATACGTTTAAAGCCATATTGAGGAACATTCTAGATAATGTAGTAGCGGTGTTTCAGTATAGTACCTAAGTGTAAGAGTATCGGCAGTATTTCAGTATACTGTGGTACCTGAGTGTAAAAGTATTGCAGTTTTTCAGTATAGTACGTGAGTGCAAATGTATTGTCAGTATTTGAGTATAGTATTTCAATACAGTACGTGGGTGTTGCAGTATTGCAGTATTGGAGTATTTGCAGTAGCAGGAGAGGAGCCAGGCTGTGCTTGTGCTGGGGGAGGTTATGCAACAGGCCTCTGCTCATGTGACCACAGCCACAATAACACAGAACACATATGTGTACTTTACATTTGCAGTAGCAATGACAACATACCGCGGTCTACTACTAAAGAGCGTCCTACAAGTACCGAAACTACTCCACTTTCACAGATAACGATACCAAAGAAGTCCCATTGACAGACGAGAGCAGAAACTTTCCTGAACGTCTTTCAAATGATGTGGAGCTTTATCAGAACAAGCAGAAGAGCACATAGACTAGAACGACACAGATATAAGGTTGCATGGGAATAGAAAAGAAAGTACTACTATTAAAAAAAAATTAAATCAATGAAAGAGTGATTTTTATTGCCATCGTGGTGTCAGAACCAGTATTGAGTATCCAGTCTTTTCCTTAGTATCAGAATCAAGTTTGAAATGTTTGTATCGTGACACTAGAACATACTCTGTTTTTGTCCAAATACAGATAACTTTGACAAAAACAAACATATCTTCATGATACCACTGAAAGTTAGGTGTACTTTGAGTGGACTGGACCAAAGTGGAGCAGTTGAATATTTTCTTACATTAAACCAAACTGGTTGCATGTTTTACTGCATCTGACACTTTTGAATGTGTTTTTAATGCGCCTCTTAATACGGACTGTAAATGAGCAGTGTACATGATTAGCCCTGCAGATGGTTTTGATTGTCAGTGGTTTATCAGCTCTCAGGTCATCTACTGCTGCTATAAGGAAACATGCTTGCTGCTATAAGGAATGTCAAAGTTGAACTTTGTACAGCTTCTGTCATTCATTAAAACATGTGTTAAAAAGACTCCTGTTCACTGTCACATCACAGCACATGCTCCACGAGGGCTCACACCAAACCAGGACTAAACCAGGACTAAACCAACTATATACCATGAGTAAACCAGGACTATGCCAGGATTAAACCAGGACTGAAGCAGGACTAAACCAAAACTAAACCAGGACAAAACCCACTCTATGTCAGGACTAAACCAGGACTAAACCAGGACTGAATCAGGACTAAACCAGAGCTAAACCTATACAAAACATAGACTAGACCTTGACTAAACCAAGACTAAACCAGGACGAAACATGGACTAGACCACAACTAGACAACCAGGCCAGTCTAGACTAAAGCTAAAAGTTTTTCAGACACATTGCGTAAGTCACAAAAGCCGAGCCTAGAGCCTTTATCAACCCTTCTGTTCTGATAACAGTAAATATAATACACCCAAATGCAAGGTTAAGTGTACTTTTACTGCACAGCCGATAAATGAGCCGTAATTATTGATAGAAATAATAAGTATCTAATATTATAATGCCATGTGTCTTATATAATCAGTCAACAATAATGCAGGAACAAAACACAGCTCATGTTTGTCATGTTTGTGATGAGGTAACAGCAGAGGACAGGGGTTGGTTGAGTGGATTCAATAAAACCCGTGCTTGTTTGTCTCTATAGTGGATCATTCTGTTATAATTTGGACATTTGAAATCGCAATATTGATCTAAAACAATTTCATAATAGAAAAAACTCCACTGATTGTGGTGTCCATGGGAGCTGACGTCGGCGTAAATGTCATCACAACAAAGTGCCGCATGCTGTGGGCTCCTCCTGTAGATATGTGCACATCACACTAGTGAGCAGCAGATATAAAAAAATACAAAATGATCATGTGTCGCCGCTGAATCCAACATGTAAGAAAATAAACCCAGAGAAGGAAAAACATACGTCACAACTGGCGTGTACTGGTGGGTTGATTGGCGAAATGGCGTCTCAAATTTAAAAGATTAAAGATGATTCAAACATGCACGAATCACTCCAAAAACATCTTCAGAAATGAATGAGAAAGAAATGATTAAAGTAGTATGACCAGACCCAACTTTGAGCCCTGTGTCCCCTATCCCTGCCGATTTATCTAACAAACTAGTGATTTGTCCCAGTTTTATACAAGAAATGTCCCTGGTGTCCATATTTTTGACCAATCTGATCTCTGCCGACAGTAAAGAGAGACAAACATTGTCATTTGTGTAAGAAAAATACAGAAAAGCTGCTTAAAAATGACCAAAACACAAAGAAACTGCTACAGTTTTCCTTAATTACACACTCGAGTCACAATTTTATTATTACCAACCTACCCAAACCAGAGATGTCCCTGTTTTTTATTCTGAAAATCTGGTCACCCTAGATTAAAAAAAAGAGACTCAAACATGCCTTCAGGTCTTCAGAAATGAATGAGAAAGAAACAATTAAAGATGATTCAAACATGCATGAGTCACTCCAAAAACATCTTCAGAAATGAATGAGAAAGATTAAAGTAGTATGACCAGACGTCCCTATTTGAAATACACGTTTTGCCCTGTGTCCTCTGTCCCAGCAGTGATTTGTCCCAGTTTTATACAAGAAATGTCCACGGTGTCCTTATTTTTGACCAATCTGATCCTGCCAACAGTAAAGAGAAGCATAAATTGTAATTTGTTTCGGTAAAATACAGAAAAGCTGCTTAAAAATGACCAAAACACTCGATTCACAATTTTATTATTACCAACCAACCCCAAACCAGAGATGTCCCAGTTTTTAATTCTGAAAATCTGGTCACCCTAGATTAAAAAAAAAAAAGAAAAAGACTCAAACATGCATGAAATGCTCCAAAAACATCTTCAGAAATGAATGAGAAAGAAACAATAAAAGATGATTCAAACATGCATGAGTCACTCCAAAAACACTCCCTGTCCCAGTAGTGATTTGTCCCAGTTTTATACAAGAAATGTCCAAGGTGTCCTTATTTTTGACCAATCTGATCCTAAAGAGAAGCATGAATTGTAATGTGTTTCGGTAAAATACAGAAAAGCTGCTTAAAAATGACCAAAGCACAGAGAAAATGTGACTATACCGACTCACATTAGAGAAAGAATGAGAAAGAAATGATTAAAAATCACTCAAACATGCACGAAATGCTCCAAAAACAACTTCCAAAATGAATGAAAGAAACAACTCTGACATGGTTAAAAGCTCTGAAAAGTCCAGTTTGCAGAATAGGTCTGCTTTAAACTGTTTATAACTGTCTTGTATATTCTGCTAAACTGACTTTTTGAGTGACAGAAGCAGAGAGATGGACAGAGAAGACACGAGAGAGAAAGAATAGAGTGATACTGAGAAAGAGCGAGGAGGAGGAGGAGGAGAGGAGCGGGGGTGCGACGGAGAGGGGAGAGAGAGGAACAGTTTGTACGGAGCAGTTCTCAGAAAGACCCCGCTCTAGTCCGGCTCTGAACCCAATGCTCCTCTACCACACGACCATATAAGGCGCTACTATCAGCCCGGGTCACATGGCACGCCTGCGACCAATCGGAGAGCAGCGCCGGAGATCCTGTGGCTGAATGGAGAAGATATGTACTTCCTCAAACAACAACAACAAGAGGAGATTTATGACTGAACAAGGACTGAACCAAGACTGAGCCAGGAATAAACAAGGACTGAACCAAGACTGAACCAGGACTGAACCAGGACTAAACAAAGACTGAACCAGGACTGAACCAGGACTAAGTCAGAACTGACCCAGGCCTGAATCAGGATTAATCCAAATCAGAAATCAGAACTAAATCAAAACTAAACCAGGTCTAACCCAGGAGAAAACCAGGACTGAACCAAGACTGAACCAGATTTAGTCCTGGTTTAAAGCCAGGCTAAACTGGGACTGAACCAGAACTAAACCAGGACTGAAAGGACTGAACCAGGACCAAAGCAGGACTGAATCATAAGGCTAAACAAAACAGAGAGAGAATGAGGAAGGGAGGGAGAGAGGAGGGTGGAGGGGGGTTGACTCTGTCCCAGTTGGACCAGGTCCAGGTCTGAGTTCACTGAGTCTGTTTCCCTTTATTTAAACAGAACAAGAACAGTGTAAACAAGAGAGGCAAGGACTAAACCAGGACTAAACTCAAAATAAACCAGGACTAAACCAGGACTAAACTCAGAATAAACCAGGACTAAACCAGGACTAAACCAGGACTAAACTCAAAATAAACCAGGACTAAACCAGGACTAAACTCAGAATAAACCAGGACTAAACCAGGACTAATCCAGGACTAAACCAGGACTGAACCAGGACCAGAGTTGGGTGTTAGAGTAGTTGTACTGTAATTACAATACAAGCTGAAGTAATTTCAGTCCCATCATTATCTTCTCTGAGGACACAGATCTGCAGACCTGTAGACGTGTGTCCTCACAGATGTGTCTGCAGACCTGAGCTCAAACATTGCACAGTGAAGCACAGTGAAGCACAGTGAAGCACAGTGAAGCACAGTGAAGCACAGTGAAGCACAGTGAAGCACCGTGACTGTGTTCAGAGTGAAACAGAAGAGACTCTGGCTGCAGGTTCCTCCTCAGACTCAGACACAGAGACTGTTTAATAAAACATCAAATCACATTAACCAGGACTAAAGCAGAACTAACCCAGGTCCAGATTCTGAGCATAAAGACGGGCCTCAGCAGCTGCACACTGAACATATTTAAAACATGTTACATAAGTGTGATTTATCACTCCATGTACCGGCCCTTTGAGGTCCAACCAGAGTTTAGTCCTGGTTTACTGCTGCTTTAGTGTTTTGTTTTTTAGTCCTGGTTCAGTCCTGGTTTAGTCCTGGCAGTCTTGGTTTAGTCCTGGTTTAGTCCTTGTGCATTGTGGGACTGCAGATGATTGACAGCTTGTACAGTGCAGTTATGTAATGTTTGTGTGAGTTTCAGGAAATGGAGACAGAGTTGAACACAACTGCAGCCAAAAGTCCACGTGGACTAAACGAGGACTGAACCAGGACTAAACGAGGACTAAACCAGGACTAAACCAGGACTAAACCAGGACTAAACCAGGACTGAACCAGGACTAAACCAGGACTGAAGAGAGGCGCAGGTAGAACATGAAAGCTCCACATAAGTTTATTCCTATGCAGTTGCTCCATAGCTTCATGTTACATGTGCACATTTCTTCTCTCCATGGAAGATTACTGGTCTTGCATAAATGTCACTGTACTCATGTAATGAAGTGATCTGAACTGAGATGAAACCCGACCATCTCAGATCCAGTGTGGAACATGTGTGACTGTAGTGTGATGTATGGAACATGGTGCTGGTCTGCAGAGGTGATGTCGCACGTGTTGGGCTCAAAGTTTGTTTACTGCAGCTCTCTGGCTCTGCTCTTGTGCGCGTGCATGAGGCCGTGCACGTGTGTGTACCTGCATGCGTGTGCGTGTGCATGTACCGAGTAAAGTCTATTTATACCCCGAGTTTGGACTGTTAGGACTCTGTTTACCGTGGGCAGACCGGTTCAGACAGGAGTCACTGCACTGTCATGTATTTATACCTGGGGGGGGGGGGGGGGGAAAGAAGCTGACTCTCTGCATCTCTCTCTCTGTCCAGAGGTCCAGGCTCAGCGCAGGTGGAGCTTTGGTCATCAGAGGTTACAATCCCACTACAGTGTGTGATCATGGCTGCAAAGAGTCTTGCTCAGTGACACAACTGCAGTACAGCTGGGATCACCTCACTTTACTGCCTGAGCCGCAGAAATCCACTGATCTCAAAAACATGGATCAGCAGAAATCATTTAACCAGCTCTCTAAACTTCAATCATATGTCCATAAAGAAACAGTGTGTAACTTTCTGGAGGTGGCACGTCACTGCATGATTCCAACAAAGCAGATAGTTAAATCAGAGCTTCAGAGCTTGTGTGTGCTCCATAGTTCTAATCTCTGGCGCCTCGTATATGATTATGTGATCATTTGGACATTTCAAATCACAATATTCATCTAAAACGACTCAATAAAAGAAACACGGAAAATGTTTTTACATTTGGACCAAAATGACTACGCAGTGCTGCCCAGTCCTCCAGGTATCACAGATTAAGAAAATAATCAGCAAAATAATGTCTTCAAAAGCAAAAAGCAAAAACCAACCAAACAAACAAACAAACAAACAAACAAAGATTAAAGATGCCTCAAACATGCACAAATCACTCCAAATACAACTTCAGAGGGTCAATGAGAAGAAACTACTAGAAGATGGTTTAAGGTCTGAAAGTCCATTTTGGTCTATCTCCACGGAGATAGATCCATTTTAAGCCAAAGAAACCACATTTAGTCAGGTTTGTGGAGATGCAAGCCTGCTCACAGTCAGTATGCAAGTTTTTCTATATTTTTGTGTGTGTGCGTGTGTGAAGTTATTTGTGTTTGTGATGAGTTGTTTTGTCAAATGGCCGAGCGCAGTCAGAGTCCACCGGGTTCATGTTCTAGTTTAAATTTGGACTCTCATGTCGTGGTTTGGTCCAGGTTTAGTCCAGGTTTAGTCCTGGTTTAAATCCAGATCGGAGCTGCACCAACTGTAGTGTGCCGTTACAGAGACTTCCTAGAAACTCCCGCTGCAGTAAAAGGCCAGGAATAGAACCTTCAACCACAACATCCACCAGCCTTTCACAATAAAACACTCTCACAGGCTGTGCACAGAAAACACGACTAAACATGGGACTAAACCAGGACTAAACCAAGTCCAAACCAGGTCTAAACCAGGACTGAACCAGGACTAAACCAGGTCTAAACCAGGACTAAACCAGGACTATACCAGGACTGAACCAGGTCTAAACCAGGACTAAACCAGGACTAAACCAAGTCCAAACCAGGTCTAAACCAGGACTGAACCAGGACTATACCAAGACTATACCAGGTCTAAACCAGGACTATACCAGGACTGAACCAGGTCTAAACCAGGTCTAAACCAGGTCTAAACCAGGTCTAAACCAGGACTAAACCAGGTCTAAACCAGGTTTAAATCAGGACAAAATAAGGACTGCACAAGAAAAAAAAAAAAAAAAAAAAAAAAAAAAAAAAAAACAGGACTCAACCAGGACTAAAGCAGATCTAAACCAGTACTAAACAAGGATCAGGACTAAACCAGGAAAAAAACATGTGTGACTAAACCGGGCTGAACCAGAACTAAACCAGGACTAAACTAGGACTGAACTAGTCATTATAGTATCACAATCAATTAGAATGACTATATTCTAGATGTAGTAGTAGTAGTAGTAGTAGTAGTAGTAGTAGTAGTAGTAGTAAAGTATTTCCTTCCTGGGTTGCAAGGCCCCAAAACATTTGCCCAGCCTTAAAGCAGAGGGGCATGTTTGGGGCTTTGGCGCCACCTGCTGGACACTCTACCACCTGCAGCTCTAAAAAATATACTCTGCATTTTTGGTATTTGGTGGCTCTGAGCTGTGTGTGTGTGTGTGTGTTTGTGTGTGTGTGTGTGTTTCTGTGTGTGCGTGTGTGAGTGTGTGTGTGTGTGTGTGTGTGTGTGTGTGTGTGTGTGTGTGTGTGTGTGTGTGTGTGTGTGTGTGTGTGTGTGTGTGTGTGTGTGTGTGTGTGTGTGTGTGTGTGTGTGTGTGTGTGTGTGTGTGTGTGTGTGTGTGTGTGTGTGTGTGTGTGTGTGTGTGTGTGTGTGTGTGTGTGTGTGTGTGTGTGTGTGTGAGTGTGTGTGTGTGTGTGTCTGTGTGTGTGTGTGTGTGTGTGTTTGTGTGTTTCACAGTGAGGTACAGATCTTAACCAGAGAAAAGAATTGGTTTGATTGGAGAGTTAAAGAGGATATTTTTGTTAAGAAAGAGAATCCTTCTCTAAACAGAAATGGAGACTCAGATAACATCTACCTCCTATTTACAACTCCATCTTCAAACCTAAATCAAAACAAACAAGAGAACAACAGATGTATTCAGGTCAGGTCCAGAGATGTGGAAGCTCCATTATGGCCCTGAATGATTCTGCTGATATGTCCCCACACTCAGTGAAGATGAATAGGCCGAGCTAACAAATAGAAACTGTAAACAAGTGTGTGTGTTAGTTTCAGAGTAGTTTCAGTGTAGTTAGCTCCTCTCTGCAGACAGATATAAGGAAGTGTCACCAGTGTCTGAACACAACTGAACAAACAGTTTGGATGAGCTGGGAAATGTTTTTGACCAAAATAAACTTTTGTCCAGTTGACAAATTGAGTTTCTCCTTTTGCCGTATCACAAACTCACACTGAGCCCAGTGAATAGCTGCAAGAGCTGGTTTAACTCTAACCCTAACCTAAACCTCACAAATGCTTGGAGAGCAGAAGAGAGTTCCAGTGTTTGGGAATGTTCTGGAGACACATGACCAGGGTCCACAAACACCACTTAGGCTCAGATGATTTCAGCAGGTTTTGGTGCTGTCTTCCTCCCGATGGAGTCAGGACGACAGCGCCACCTGCAGTCCCACTTCCTCAGGACAGTATCCCAGGTGTGTGGGAGTAAAAAAGCCCCTCGTCCTGGTTTGTTGGTTTTCGATTGCCTCTTTAATCCAGCAACAGTGTTTGTTTTCTCTGTCCCAGTGATGTTTGCTCCGTCTCAGTCCAGAATGTTCTTCGGTCTTTTACACACGTCACTAACGGTTGATTTGAGTTGTTCCTGTTCTGCTCTGTGTTTTGTTGCTCGTGCTTTGTCTTCGCTGTTTCCTTCTCACGTTCTGTCCTATGTTCCTTTTCTCATGGACTGAACATCCTCCCTCTTTCCCCGAGGTGTGTTTTGTTGCAGGAAATGAAGGTGTTTTGTATATGACGTTACATTTTTGATCTTTTGAATGGACGAGTTTTCTGTTTAGTTTCACTGGTGTGTTCATATTGTGTTTTCTCTTTGCTCTCTGCACTTTTTCTGTTATGCCCCTGGTGTACAGTAGTGTTCCCATGTCTGTGCTCTCTTTTTCCCTTTTATTTTTGGTTTTCAATTTTTTTTCTCTCTCCGATGTGTTGTTTTCTTTTGCCTGTTTTGTGTGTTGTTATAATGTTGGTTCTGTCAAATAATGTTTGTGTCTGTGGGATGTTCAGATGTTCACAGGAGTTGTCTGGGTTGATTTTCTATGTATTATTATTCTGATGCTGCCATCTTCCCTATGTGTGATGTTCATGTCCAGAAAGTGTATTGTATTATTTGCTTCTTCTTCATGTGTCGTGTGTACGTGTGTGTACATATGTGTACGTGTCTGTACGTGTGTGTACATATGTGTACGTGTGTGTACGTGTGTGTACATATGTGTACGTGTGTGTACGTGTGTGTACGTGTGTGTACATGTGTGTACGTGTGTGTACATATGTGTACATGTGTGTACGTGTGTGTACGTGTGTGTACATATGTGTACATGTGTGTACGTGTGTGTACATATGTGTACGTGTCTGTACGTGTGTGTACATATGTGTAGGTGTGTGTACATGTCTGTACGTGTGTGTATATGTCTGTACGTGTGTGTACGTGTGTGTACATATGTGTAGGTGTGTGTACATGTCTGTACGTGTGTGTACGTGTGTGTATGTGACTGCAGTGCTGCTGTAAATAATGTAAATAAACACGTGAGTTGATCTTGTGACGCTTCTAAAGTGACTTTTCCTTTAAGTGTGTTTGCAGTGCGCCAGCAGAGGGCAGCAGAGCGGCTGGAGCGTCCGGAGGCCTGGAGTCTGTACTTCCGTGTCTGTGTCTGTGCGCGGCGGCGTTAGCTCCGTGCGCCTTCAGTGCGTGTGTGCGCGCTGCACCGGAGCCTTAAAGCGGACAGAGCGCACTGAAACATGGCACAAGTGAAGCTGAAGGAGGAGCCGGAGCTGTGGGAGCCGAACGACGTGGACAACAGGTGAGTTTAGAGGCTCAAGACGCTCTGAGCGCACAAGCCTGCGCCCAGCGGACCGCACACACACACACACACTGTACACACTATACACACACACACACAAACTGTACACACACTGCACACACACTGCATAGGGACACACGGACAGGAGGACACGAAGTCCACGCGACACGGGGCTGTGGGACAGAGCCGGGGGGGAGGAGAGGAGGGGCTCTGGTGGTTCTGGTGCAGGACAGAAATATGGCGAATAGAGCAAAGTTATGGAAACATGCAGAAGTGAAACGGGGATTGGGCCTTCATACTGCGCATGCGCACTCACTTGCTGGGACCGGCTGATGTGTGTGTCTCTTCTGGACATGATGACAGAGACGGAACATCCTCCAGTAAGAGGAACTTACCCCAAAGTCTGTCATATGAAACAATGAAATGATGAAATGTTGAAGTTAAAGTAGTGGTCCAGAACTTACTCCTGTAACAGCTAAGAAAGTATTTGGTGAAATGAAATGAAACTAACGTCAGAGTGACTTAAATCTGCTGTTTTCAAAGGACAAATACAAAAATGAGACAAACTAAAAGAGATGTGAAGGAGAAACACAAATGTTCAAATCATTTCAGATTGTCACATAAAACTTTTGTCACTTTAGACTCACAGTGGGAAGTAACCAACTTTTACTCAAGTAACATTACTGTTACTCCAATAAAACTATAGTACTGTTACATTGTGCAATATATTGGGTAAGTAGGAGTAAGTATTTGGTTTGAAACATATTATTTCTTCAAAAGTTACTTGAGTAAATGTAATCGTACTTCCCTCTTCTGTGTTCTGTTGCAGAGATTCACGTGATTTCAAAGAGGATCCAGACTGCAGAGGTAAGAACTAGAACTGGACTTGAGCTGGACTAGAACTGGACTAGAACCGGACTAGAACCGGACTAGAACCGGACTAGAACCGGACTAGAACCGGACTAGAACTGGACTAGAATGCTGTGACGGTGCACAACTTAGAACAGTGAAATTACTCAGTAAGGTGTATTTGGTCTTCTGTTAAGACCAAAGTTTAGTTTGTGTTTACTGAGCCTTTGGCCCCGCCCACTTTTGCCTCTGAACACTTCTAAACCACTCTGTCTTTGTGGTGGAACTTTAGATGAAGTGGGAATCCCTTTCATTTAAACAGAGAATTTGAGAAAAGTTTTGCTGTTAAAATCTGATTTGAAGTGGGTTGATTCATGTGACCAACACGTCACAGAGACTCTGGAGGCTTGAAAACAGAACTGGAGTGTTGATAGAACATGTTTACTGTGAGAGCTGCTCCATGCAAAATAAGGGGGGTGATACTTTGCAGCTGATTTCATCAACAGAGATCCATGTAGAACATCCCCAGAGTGATGCCACAGTATCAGTAGAGGTTAGGCAGATCATTAGTGTTGTAGTCAAAGACCTGACTAAACGAAACCAAGACTAGTACATGACCGAGACCTCTAAAGATTGAAACTGAGACAAGACCAAGACAGGACCAAGACAACACTGAGACCACAGCCCATCGAGAACAAATCAAGACAATCTCTTTTCTACTTTTATTTGTAATTTACAGTTATTTTGGCACAGATATATCAATGTTTTTTCAAATTCATACCATTTTCAGTTACAATTCTCTTACTGGTTTTGTAGTGATATTTAGCCTCTGCACATTTACTGGACGTAATGAAATATGATCACATCCGTCGAGTGTTAGACCTCGAGTCCGAGACGAGACAGAGCCCAAATGTGCTCGAGTCTGAGACAAAACAAAATGTAAAAAAGTGGTCTCGAGGCCGCTCTCTAGTAGTACGACACTGCAGATCACCATTATGAATGTTCTCCTGCAAAAACTCCAAAAACTGAGTTTAAATGTGAAAGAGCTGCTCCAGTTTAATAACAAATCTAAAAGTCTACAACTCAGCTCAATAGTTAGTTTGAGGTTGACCTCTAAAACAGGAAAATCAAGTCTGCAGGACAAAATTAGACATTTCTACAAACAAGGAAGCAGGAAAAACTAATAATTCTTTCACAAGTAAAGTTCAGTTACACTCATTTAGATAAGAACTGCTAGTAAATGTAAATGTAACAGTTCTAGTTAAGACTTCAAAATAAAAGTTTATAATGGTAATAAAGAGATTTGAAACTAACAATACAACACAGAAGTGACAGAAAACTGATGTTACCATTGATTTCTGTCCTCACCGTTCATAAATGTAGTGTAAATGTAATGTGACGGTAAAAACAGGAGGTGATTGACAAAATGGCATCTTGAAAATAAGTGATTTAAAAATGACTGAAATATATCACTACAGATAAAACAACTGTAATGCTCTGAAAAGTCCAATTTGCAGAATAGTTCTGATCTAACAACAGTAATAGTTCTAAACTTGTGCCTGTACCATCTCTAGTTGGATGTTCCTCATGGATTCTCGGTCTGTCCCTGCAGGTATTCAGACCCAAACTGCGGTGGTCCAAGTTAAAGAAGAGCCAGAAGAAATGAAAATCCCACAAAGCCCAATTCTGCGCGTCATTGTCAAGAGCGAAGACGAGGATGAGGAAAACGAGGAGCAAGAGTCGAGTTGCCGTGGTGCCGTGAAAGAGGAGAGCGGACAGGGCGAGGAGGAGCGAGAGGAGAGCGCAGCAGCAGATGTAGAGTCCGAGAATGGAGAACATTGCTCTGGCACTGATGACTCCGAAGACTGGACACCTAAAAGTTCCAAACACTCAAAGCCCAGTGTGCGGCGGCAGGAGGCGGCGCACAAGAACAATGGAACAGCAGCCCCGGGAAATCTTCACAAATGTACTCAGTGTGGGAAGGAGTTTGACACCCGCACCAAACTCAAAGTACACGAGAAGAACCACCTAACTGACCGACCTTTCAGCTGCCCCTTCTGTGAAAGAGGATTCAAAAAGAACGGCGCGCTGAGAACTCACATGAGAATCCACACGGGAGAAAAACCATTCACGTGTTCAGTCTGTGCCAAGGATTTTCAGTACGGGATCACACTAAAGGCCCACATGAGGACGCACACCGGAGAGAGACCTTTCAGCTGCTCAGTTTGTGACATGGGTTTTGCTACAGAATACCTCCTCAAAGTGCACGTGCGGTCTCACACGGGAGGGGAGACTTTCAGGTGTCCAGTTTGCGCTAAAGATTTCATCACAGAAAACCGTCTGAAGCGCCACATCACCATCCACACTAAAAACAGACCTTTTGGGTGTTCGATGTGCGGGGAGAGCTTCTCGACGAGCAGCCGCCTGCGCACTCACACCAGAGTCCACACGGGGGAGCTGCTGTTCACCTGTGCCATCTGTGATAAAGACTTCGCTCGCAAAAGCTTCCTGAAGAAACATATGAGGTCTCACACAGGAGAGAGACCTTTCAGCTGTTCAGTCTGTGAAAAGAGCTTTGCTCATAAGTACAACCTCCAAAAACACAAATGCTCCAGACCAACACTCCCAAACCAACAGCAGGGACCAGTATGACTGTCTGTGTTTATACATCTGTATCTTCACATCGTAGACTGTGTGTGTCATGGAAACCAATCAAACGTGTTGTTAAAGCTGTCGGGAAAGAAGGCGCCTGATTGGTCTGTTACTAATGTTCATATCTTGATTTGGAGACAAAACGGTGAAAGAAACCTGACTGCAGCGGTTATAGAGAGAGAGGACTTTGTACATAGTGAAGTGGAGTCGATGGAGCCGGAAGCACGCCCATGTTCACTTCCTGTTTGGAACACGGTGGCGAGAGTGTGAGCTGTGTCCATTTCTATACAGTCTGTGGTCCAATCACAACTGAATGTGTTTTGCTAGAACCTGCAGGTGGAGGACACGTCTCCCTTTGTCTCATTCTCAGTATATGGATATGTGTCATGTGAATGCTCAGAAGCTCCACAATTCCATCACTGAGCTGCAGAGGTGTGAACATGTTTACCTTGTATGTGCGAACACGTGTATGACATTTAAAATAAAACTTCTACATACCCTCCCTTTAACCTTTAATACTTTGTCTCCGACCTCCTCCCACTGAAGAAATCCACTACATTTCAGTCATGTTTTTTTTTTTTTTCCCATTGAATTTGATTTTGTTTCTGATCTCAACATGATTTTGGATTCTAGGATCATGTCACACATGTCAAGATTCTCTGTGAAGGTTCATTTTAATACTGGGGGGTGAAAATGTGTCGTCTGAACTATTCCACTGTCCTCTGTTCTGTTCTAATGTTGTTTCCTCATCACAAACTCACCTGGAGTTGTTTTGTTTCATTCACACACGTTTAACACACAAACTGTATTTAGGCTGAGTTCTCTGAAAAGGAAAACACTGTTCCACCTTGTGATGTCATGTGGTAATACAGGAAGTGCTCCACTGTGTTTTTAAACTCCACACACCTTCACTAGAATCATTTGGCTGATTTCTGCCCACGAACTGTCAATCTCTCTTGAACTAAAAGGTAACGGGAGCTGCTGACTTAAACTACCACTTCATGACATCACAAGGTGGAATAGAGCATTTTGAGTTTTGAGATGTAGACAGATTACTAATAAAGAGTTACTCAAACGTGTGTGAAACAAAACACAGTCCAGGTGTGTTTTTGAGGAGGGAACAACATTATAAATCAGTTTTGTGTGATATAGTTCATGTAATGTTGGGGTGATCCTGCAGGGGGCGGTAATGCAACATCCATGACTGGTTCCCAAAGAATAAGCAGGAGGAGCTGTACCTGTTGTGTGCGCATGCGCGGCTCCGAACACAACTGCGGGCTACGGAGCCATGCGTGCGCCCAAAGAGCGTTAAAGCTGCACAGAAAGCGCCTTAAACCTGACAAAAGCGCAGGAACATGGAGAGGATGAGGCTGAAGCAGGAGCCGGAGTTGTGGGCCCTGGAGCCGGACACGGGGTGAGTGTAGAGCCGCTACAGGACCCACACCCCGCGGGCTCGAGCACCGGGGACAGGGCGCCATTGTGCGGCGGGATCAGGGGCTCGGTTCGGGGACTGGGAGCAGCGCTGTGTGGCTCTGTGTGGCTCGGTGAGAAAAGCGCTCGCATGGAGCGGTAGTTTTGCAGAAAAGGCGCACGGAGTTACGTGAGGAGTGGGTTGTGAGTTTGAGCATGCGCACTCGGCCTCGCTCCGGATACGAGTTTGTAAATAAAAATGTTGCGCCAAAAGTTGTAAACATCTTCAGGAGCATTGACATTTGAGCGAGACGGAAATCTGAACATGTTTACACAGAATAAGACCCCATGGAGACCCGGGGAGGGCATCTGACACACACTGGGTTCCAGAAGATGTTTGTAGACGTCTGCACAAGAGTTTTCATTATACACACAGGGGATTTAGTTCTTTACACAGAACATTCTAGTAGCTAAAGAGCTGCAGCCTGGATTTGTTATCCACTGAAACTCAAGTTGCAGTTTTGTTTAATTTGTAAAATATTGTGCAGTTCTAGTTTAAAACTGTTCAGAAACACACACTGGTGGATCCATGTATCAATATCACAAGAACACAGCATCATCACAAATGTCTCATTTACAGAAGTGTTTTTGGAAAGTAAACTGGATAAAAATACAGATTTCATTCATGATTGACCATAGTAATCATACATTAGACTTTAATTGGTCTTGTTTTTTTTATTTACTTTTTTATTTTGACCCAGTATTTAAAGCCCAAATGAAGCTGGAGCTTGAGTGTTTTTAACCTGTAGTTCTGTGTTTTGTTGCAGTGAGGCTCGACAGAAGAAAGATGAGCTGCACAACAGCGGTAAGAGCTGCTGATATCATGTGACTCTAACTTGATTTTGTTTTAAAGAATAGACTGGATACTCGTTACAGATTTTAAAAACCAAAAGCTCCTTTTTGACAATATTGTAATGTTCAACACCAAATAATAGTGTTTGTTTTTTAAACCATGTGGTCGTCTTCTCGTTCTGATAAAACTTAAACATCCTGCATCATGCAAAGGGGAATCTTTAAGCAACTCTGTTACCTCACTCAAATCACACCTGCACTTGTGTTTTGTTTTCTTCACATATGTTTGAATCTGTCTACATCTCCCTCGCTCCAAATGCTCTGTTCCACCTTGTGATGTCATGGGGTGGTAGTTTTGTAACAGCTCCATTTACCTTTTGTTCAGTAGAGAAACTGTAGGTAAATCATCTAAAATGACTCTAGTGAATGTGTACGGAATTTAAAAACATTGTGGAGCATTTCTGGTTTCCCACATGACATCACAAGTGTTTTCCATTTGACAGAAGAAATCTGCAGGCTTTGTGTGTTAAACACGACACAACATTAAACAACTAAACACAAGTCCAGGTCTGTTTGTGATGAAGAAATATTATTATAACAGATCAGAAAATAGTCACATGGCCCTTTAAGATGAAACTGTTCAAGAAAGGTCACATTTTATCCACTTACTGTATGATTCAATTATTCTTCTTTTTTTGTATTGACACCTAATCAAAAAAGTATGTATTATTTTTAAAATATCAGATTTGTAATACTGTGACAGCACAAGTAACAACTGAACTGGACTATAGTTAAACATACACTGTTATATAAACAGACACATCTGGGACTGTCACAATAACCACAAAAATGAATCACCGCGGTACTAAGAGGCTCACCGCAGTGCATGTTGGGTCATCGCGATCACTGCACGTGACCAACGTGACCCGACCCAGAGTCCTGCATGGCTCCATTTTTAGAGACGCGTACCCACCCGGACCCTTTAACATTCCACCTGTTACCACCTGTGCCCGTGATAACCCAAGACTAACCCAGGACTAACCCAGGACTAACCCAGGACTAACCCTGGACTAACCCAGGACTAACCCAGGACTAACCCAGGACTAACCCAGGACTAACCCTGGACTAACCCAGGACTAACCCAGGACTAACCCAGGACTAACCCAGGACTAAGGTGCACCCGAGTAGACTGTCTGGTGACCGCAGCTGTTGATGCCACACCACAGGAGAAATTCTCTAACTGCGACAGCCCTAGACATATAGAGGTATATCTGATGCACCAGCTGACCTATTTCACACATGAAGTTCACCTGTGGCTCTTCCGGCTCCTTCTGACTCTGGCTCCCTTTGACTTGCATTTGAGTAGTGTGGCTCTTCTCTCTGTGCCTGCTGCTGTAAGCCTCATCATTTTGATCTTTAAATTAGAGCCCGACCGATATATTAGTTGGTCGATATTATCGGCCGATATGGGCACCTGGAGGCATATCGGCTATCGGCCGATATGCTTGCTGATAGGGGCCGATATTTCACGTGGGCATGTTATACGTTGTTAAAAATCTACATTATGTTTATTTAATCCAATTTACAGACAGATAAATGTCCTAATATGTGTCTAAACATCAGTATTTATCTGTGGAGTCATTTGTCAGTGTGTGTGTCCGTACTGTCCCTGAACACACCACAGAGTCATGTCACTCACGTGTGTTTGTTTACACTCACAGACACAGATCCAAACACTAAGATTATTTTCTTTTTACGGTCAATCGGTTTGAGTCTGGATTAAAAGGACATTTATTAGTGCAGACTTGTGATGTGGGAGGAGCCTGTGTGAGCGGTGAGTGTTGGAAATATGTCGACTTTGAAGCTAGTTTTGGTTATTTGTTATGGGTTAGCTGCTGTAGCTCCCGCACATAAACAGACTGTTTTCTATTGGTCTATTGTAAAGTCACTATTTTGGCCGTATATTTGTTACTGGAGCTGCATTGATATGTAAATGAGCTGTGAATTATGACATTTGCGCATATAATTAATTACCGCAGCGCGCAGCATTTACGGCTAAAGGCTAATGGCGGTAGTTTTTTTTACTAGTGATGGGTCAGTTGCGAATGAAATGACTGTTAGAGCCGGCTCTTTGAAGCGAACGACGGGAGCATGATCCTTCTGATCCTTCTGATATCAGTGAATGCTGCTCAAGAAAAAATACAAAATAGTGAAAATGTATTTACACAAAACATTTTCAGGAGCCTGTGATCAGTTTGGGAATTAGATTTTCAACCAAAAGGTGAAAGTGACTCACTGAAAACCTGTGATGAACTGATGATATGTGAGATGAGATGGGCACAGATCAGCTCACCTGCTGCAGTTCAGATAAGTCACTTCTTTCTCCTCAGATTGTGTTAAAATCATAAACTGTATATAGAAATGGGCATAGCTAACCTGCTAGCTGCCTTGTGCCAATAGGAAGTGAGCACAGGCGCAATTTGGCTCAGTCCACTCTGGCTCCAATTCACTCTCTATTGAAAGACCGCATTGCCTCTCTCTCTAAATGTTGCTGTCAGACTTTTCATTTTGGTCTTAAAAAGTTTGTTTTAAACTGCTCCGCTTGGTGCTGCGGTTTTTCTTGAGCTATTTTGTTTGTAAATCAAGATATGAGCATTAACAACAGACCAGTCAAGTGCCTTCTTTCCCATAGGTTGCTCCTGCTAGCGTTTGCAACTAGGGATGTCCCGATCACGTTTTTTTGCCTCCAAGTCATTTGATTTTGAGTATCTGCCGATACCGAGTTCCGATTTTCACAATCTGGTCTTGGAATGTGTAACTTAGTATACGATACATATGATATCCAAATAAAATAAAAACAAGATGACTGAAGGTCTACACAAAGAATTTGAATGGTCAGTGATCAGTTTGGGTCTTTAAAGGAGACGTGTTGGTGTTGGTAGCACTTAACCAATCAGAGCCATGTGCCCAGGTGCCAACACAAACGGCATGTCCCCGCCCACATTTACCTCGTCACCACGGCGACTCCCCGGGAAAGACCGCAGCGAGCGCTTCAGAGACGACGAGACGGCGCTCCTCGTGGAGCAGGTGAAAGCGCGACAGAAAACAATTTACGGAGACAAGAACATGGCCCCTAATGTCACAGAGGTCAGCTCCACATATGTCTGAAATCTACATACAGAATCAGTCAAAGGTCTGAACACACTTTTTATGTACGTCTCTTCTGGATTGAAGAAGGCA